AGCAGCAACAGAGCAGCCCATGTCACAGCCCCTGAAGGCCCCCTCCCTGGGGAAGCCGATGCTCTGAGGAGCACCCCCCTCTTGGGAACAGCAGCCTGCCAGGTTCCCACCCACATCTGCCAATCTGGGGCTACTGCCAGAGAAAGCCCCCCCCCGCCAGCCCTCCAGCGGGCATTCTCCGGGAGAGGCACTCCCACGTCCCGCCGGGAGACGCAGCGCCCTCGCCCAAGCCGCCTGCTGTAGCCCCGGATCTGCCCCCCCCCCAACAGCCCCATTCTGAGCTGCAGCTGAAGCCACCAGCGGGCAGGAGCAGGTGGGGGTGGCACATACAAGAGAACCAATACAAGGGAACGCTCTTGCCCTCACTTTCAGCGGGGGGGGGGGGCAGCCAGAGCCCCTGGCCCCAAGCCCAACAGGAGCAGCCATGTGGGAAAGGAGGTTTGTCGCCCTTCAGGATTAAGAGGGAGGAAACCTGATCTACTCCCCCCCCCCCTTACACAACTCAGGGCAAGGACAAAGGCCCCTCCCTCCTCTGTGGACTAGGAACAATCATCACAGAAACTGGTTGGGAAGTCACAGAATGTTCAGCAGCATCCAGACTCCTCAAGGGGGAAGGGTCAGTCACAGAATTCCAAAGCGTCCCCCCAGGCAGCTACTCCAAGGGAAGCCAAAAGCAGGAGAAGCTGATGCTGCTGGCTGGGAAAGGAGGAGAGGCTGCAGACCAGGAGGAGGAGGACTGGGGGCCCTGGTGGAAGAAGCCATCCACCCCTCCTCAGACAGAAGGTCCCCCACCCAGGCCCCAGCAACGCAGCTGAAAGGTGTCACGGAAGGCCGAGACCCTGGGCTAGACAGATGCTGAAGTCCTCCTCCAAGGACCGACACGGGGCACAATCTGTCAGCGGGCTTGTAAGGACCTTTGGCCACGGGGATCGAGGGACTGGGCTCCATCGAGGAGCTGGGAAGCAGAAAGCCCAGACAACAAGGGGGAAAGACTAGTGTCACAGGAGACCCAAATCGACAAATTCCACTAGTAGAAAACACCATCAAAGATTGCCAAAACAGTATATTAAACAATTATATAAAGTTGGTGGTGCATTTCCTTCGACTTCTTTAGTGGAACCTGATTTCACCAATTTCAACAGACCACAAGGTTCACAGCATAAGAAGTCAATCATGGGTTCTGGGGAGAACTGAAACGGAAGAAGTCGAAGGAAAAGCATCTTCCAAATATCTAGAACGTGCATCTTTGCAAAGGCCGTTTGGAAAAAGTTATGACTATGTGGACTCCTCTTATCAAGTTTCACTGACTACCTGGACTTTATATCGTATCTTCAAAGGAGGAAATATTGTATCTTATGCCCTGTTACAGTTACAGTATGCATTGATGTTGTTGTGACACCACCAACTTTATATAATTAATATATAGTTTTGGCAATCTTTGATGGTGTTTTCTACTAGTGGAATTTGTAGATTTGGGGTAGGCAGAAAGCGGCACTGAAGTTTAAAAAAAACAAACCATTTCCACTGAAAATTGTAGAACTCAAACCACCAGGTGGGGAGCCATTCCCCTCCCCCCTCCCCCTACAAGAGGGAATAAAGATTTGTTCACGGAGCGCTCGAGCCACAACAGACCATTCCGAGGCCGAAAACCCGGTCTTCCAGTCCAGGGACGCGGGTGGCTGAGGCTGCACTGGAAATGGGAAGCCAGGACGGCCCGCCTGCTCGGGCGGTCCTCCCGCCCCCCCCCCCTGCTCCCTATTTCTAGCCTGCCCTCCAGAGAGTCCCTGGGCAAGAAGTGGAATGTGCCCGTGGAAGCGGCAGCAGGATTTGGCACACGGGGTGCGGAGGCCTGGTGCAGAACCTACATCCCGCCTTTGGTCAGGAGTGCAAGCCGGTCAGCATTCCGAGGCCCCCTTCCTGGGCCCAGCTGATGCCTTCCCAAGCCCCAAGAGGGAGTCCGACACAAAGGCTTCCTGCCCCCCCCATCCACAGGCTTAAGCACTTTTCCTCAGAGATGTTCGTTTTTGCCTCTTTGCCTTAACCCTTATGTAACCGGTCAGTTTTTCCATCCCAGCTTGACCACTCTCTGCCTCACGTCACCCAGGGCTTTTGTGACCCTGGTGGAGACCAGGTCTGTATCTTTGTGACCTGCTCAGCAACAGGCAACAGGCCTGCTCAGCAACATCACTCAAGATTCTCCCCACCCATCTCTGCCTGCTTCTACAAAATCTCTTGGCCCAAAGAAGGAAGAGTCTCCACTATCAACCAGAGCCTGCCTGCCATTCCCGCTAACAGGTTGGGCAGACCCCATTTAAACTAAGAGTGTCCTGCACCATCCTCTTAATCTCTTAAACTTCATGGGTCTTGACACTAACGTTAGGGTCTGGACGTAACAGTACATATTTCTGACCAACTTCCAGTACTTCACAGATGGTTTATTAATACCACTAACATGTGGGTGTTTCATGTCTTTTTATTCATATGGTTCTGTCATTAACATGTGGATTTAATGCAATAAAATGGTTACTAGGATTTAATATACATTAATTTAAGAACTCTAAAGGTTAGTTCTTTGTTTTTTTAAAAAAAGGAGCAAGTGGATCTTCTGTCTTTTCAATACATGTATTATTCTAATGATCATTTTTCCCATCTGGGAGGTGGGGGGGAGGAGCTGAAAATATTTCCCCCACTTTATGACTGAGATGCCTGCAGTCAGGTGGCACAAGAATGCTGCTCTTTGCAGCTCCGGGAATATTTGCTGTTTGGCCTGAGGAAGCCAAGAGATTCGGCCAATTAGTATCACATTATGTTTTAACTCAGATAGTTTGATAACATAAAGAGCTGCATATATATATATATATATATTTTTTTTTTTACGCGTTCCCCCCCCCTTCCAAATCCCCAGAATTTTTCCACTTGTAGTGGAACACATGAGGACTGCCCATCTCTGCCAGGGCACCCTCCACCCACTGGCAGGATCTGCCCACACATCCGGCCAGCCAAGCAGGGTATTTACCCACTTCGGAGGTTTTCGCGCTCCCCCACCTCCTCCAGAGTCCTGGTCTCCTACCCGCCATGCACAAGGCCCACAGAAGCCCCCCGGGGGGGCAAAACAAAGGAGAGGGGAGCCCAGTGAGCCACCCCTCCCCCCACGCCGCACCTTGTAGCCACTCAGACAACGGCCCCCCCGCCTCCCCTTTTTTTTCCCCCAAACCCAGCCACCTTCCTGGGTGGCACAGGCCCACAGCTCAGCCATGCAAGGGGCTCAAGGAAAGCTTTGCGGGGGGGGGGGAGAGAACCTCAGCTTCCTGGCCCCCCTGGGCTCCCCACCCCCACGGCGGCAGGCAGGCATCGCTGGGGCCAAGCCAGACAAAGCCTGGCTCCTTGAATGTCCCGGCTGAAACAAATGCCAGAAGAACCAGCTAATTGGAAGAGGAAGGAACCGGGGTGGAGAGTTCAAGATAAACCGCAGAACTGGGAGTGACG